CCCCAAAACCCCAAAACCCCAAAACCCCAAAACCCCTTCAAAAAAATCTTAGTTGAAGGACCTGGCTGGGATAAAGAATTTATCAGAATTATTTTAATTAAAAGATGTCATCAAGAAAGAAACAGGCAAGCTTAGACATGTTCTTCAAAGGAAAACGTAAACCCAAGGATGTTGAAGAGACCAAAGAGGCTAAAGGCAGTAAGCCAAAGCCTCAGAAGAAGCTAAAGCCAGGATCTAAGGGCAAGAAAGCTAGTGCCAGCAAGCATGAAGAGACTAAGGAAGTAGTTAAAGCATCCAAGCATAAGATTATTACTGATGTAAGTGAAGACAGCTTGAATAGCTATGAAGACTTTGTTGGTCATCTTGGCGACTGGCAAGAACCCCTTGCTGATTACCTTGCTACACCACACTTTAAGCAGATCTATGAGTATGTTAAGCAGGAGTATGATTCAACCCTCTGTTTCCCTCCAAAAGAACTCATCTTTAATGCCTTTAAGAAAGCTAACTTCAAAGATGTCAAGGTCGTTATCGTGGGACAGGATCCATATATTAAGGTAAATGAAGCAATGGGTCTCTGCTTCTCAATTCCAAAAACCACTAAATGCCCTCCATCTCTTAAGAACATTTACAAAGCATTAAACAAGGATAAGAAGGTTGATTTCAAGACCCCATCACCTGTGCACGGAGACTTACAAAGCTGGGCAGATCAGGGTATCCTGATGCTCAACGCAGCCCTGACTGTCAGGGCTGGAAAGAGCTTCAGTCATGCAAAATCAGGCTGGCTCAAGTTCACTAACGAGGTGATCAAAGCCATCAACAAAGAAAAGGAGGGAATCGTCTTTCTGTGCTGGGGCGGTAAGGCTCTGGACATTTGCAAGCAGGTCGATACATCTAAGCATCATGTGCTCAAGCATGGACACCCCTCTCCATTAGCTCAGAAGTTCCAGAAGTTTGAAGAATGAACTCATTTTTCAGAGACTAATGATATCTTGGTCAAGCAAGGCCTTGAGCCTATTGATTGGAATTTGAAATAATTTAGATAAGATTTATTAAAAGGGGTTTTGGGGTTTTGGGGTTTTGGGGTTTTGGGGTTTTGGGG